GGGGGGGGGGTGTTAAAGCTGACCATGGAGGGGTCTTTGTTGATGAACAGCTAGCCTAACACATGGGTCGCTGTGGTAAGAACAGCCATTGCGTTATTGGAGGTATGTGTACCGTATCCAGGAAGCGGCTTTAGCAAACAGTTAGTAAACTTGTGCCGGTTCTCATTCAATGAAAATCAAGAGGTCGTGTAAGTTTGTGTGTACCGGAGGATCATCATTTCTTTGTTCATGTCCCTTTAACACCGCGAAGCTAACAATGCTGACTTACAACAATTAATATACAATATACTGCAAACAAATGTACACATTGTCTTCAATCATCTTAATGCCCTAATGTAACATTCCTCCTGGTGATATGACTAGCTATAACCACCAGGTATAATACAACCAAGAAAGCACACCCAAATTAATGTACAGTTAGCGTCACTTGATGGAAGGTGGTATGTCCAGGATGAACATCCCATTGCTCAGCCGCATGCCATCTTTGTCCCGTTTCACCAGATTCAATGGTTCGTCACTCTCAGGGTTTGTCACGGAGGCGCGCCTGTCGCCAGTCACAGCCTTGTCTCTGGTGACGCCCCTGTCGGCGCACTGGGGAGGAACGTTCTGCAAGGCTTGTTTTAATGCCAGCTCGTGGCGCCCCATCATGCCGGCCATGTCTTGCAGGTGGGGGTGTTTTAACCCAGGCGAGCTGGGCTGCACAGGCCTGCGTGAGTTAGACGGGGCCGGGGCCTTAGAGTTTTGATTGCGCAGGAGCGTGTTGGCGATGTCGGCGATTTTTTTTTTCTGCCCAACCTGTTTCCGCGAAGACGACGACGGGGTCGTCGAGCTGGACGTGGGACTTAATGCTGGATGCCTGAGGGAGCCGTTTAGCTCTGGGGAGGTACTGGCGGAGGACGAAGCAGGAGACGGACAATCAATGGTCGGAAGTGAGGGCAGCGGGGGCTTGGGATGTGTATCGTGTGTTGTCGTGCTGCTGACATGAGCGCCGTGTGTCGTGTTCCCGCCGTGTGTCGTGTTCCCGCCGTGTGTCGTGTTCCCGCCTTGTGTCGTGTTCCCGCCGTGTGTGGTGTTCCCGCCGTGTGTCGTGTTCCCGTTGGCCCGTGTGATGGCGATGAAGGTTTGGTTCGGACAGTCCTTAGAATGGTTCATCGGTTTCGCTCCTTCCTCAGTGTCTTTGCTCAACAAAGGCAACTCTTGTTTATTTGAAGCAGAGTTCGCCAGAGTTGCTGGATTACACATAGTTTTTTCGCGTCTCGTCTCGTTGCTTTCGAATGATGCAAGGGGTGTAGAGGACGTTGCCGTTTGGGCCGCATCGGAGCCCTGTGTCTGCGACTGCTGGACTGGTACAGCGGCGGGTGTGGGGGAGGCCGACGTGGCAGGGGTAGGAGACGCTATGGCATTGGATGGCGCGGGATTGGTGGAGTCCTTGGTAATACCCGGGGAGAAAGAGTGCAAAGACGAAGGAGGATTACAGGTAAGAAGGTTGTTTGACTTGGTGGTCGCAGGAAGCTTGGGGTGACCGCCTTGTCTTGATATCGATGGTATGGGCTGGTGCAAGGTAGACGAGCTCGTAGCAGGCGCTGAGTTGTGAGTGAGTGTCGTCTTTACCGATGTTGTCGTCGACATGGCGCTTGAGGTGGTGGTGGTGGTTGTCGTTGTCAACAAACTCAGCGACACCGGTTTGTTATTTCTCGTTACTGAACTAACGTGTTTCATCGGACCCGAGCTTAACAACGAGGACACAGAGAAGGGCATTGACGCCGGGGGAGCAGTCCTGCCGGAAGGTCTCGTGTTACACATATCCTGCTTTGGTATCTGCGGCCCACAAAACTGACCAACAGATAAAAAATTCGGTGGCACCTTATTCAGCGAGACTAATCCCTGACCATTTTGGTCAAGTGTGATCAACTTGGAGATCTCATTATTGGCTTTGTTGAGCCCTTGGACTTTGGCCGGAGCTGGAGCGAATGAGGTTGGAGTGCTTGGAGGGCGCTTCCCCAATAAAGTATTCTTGCTATTCAACGTTCCTGTTGAAACACGGACTGTATCTGCACCCTTCTGCCTGCCGCCCCTGGGAGTGGGTTTGGTCGTCGATGACAACAGAGGCGTTCCCATAGTGGGTTGGGCTTGCGAGGGTTTCTTTGGTAAATCAGTTTCCGGTGCAGTGAGCCGTTGTTTAGTGGAGGAGGACTCGCGCCGCTTCCTTGATTTTGTAGGTACCGGTACCGTTGAGGTAGCTGGAGCCCCATCTGGCGGTACCATTGCCTGCGGTGTTAGTTTATGATGCGACACGTTCGCCCCTGAAAGCATGGGCTGGACCACACCAGGTGGCACCGCCTGTCTTTGCTGTGAGCATTCTGACGGCATCTGCGACGACGACTGCCTCATGCTTACTGCAGCGATCTGGTGCTGTGTTGAGATAGACGTGGAATGCGCATGTTGCACCACGTACCTCACGGATTGTGGACCACTTTCTCCGTAATTTAGTTGTGAGACGCACGTGATATTTTTGTTTTCTGAGGTATCGATGGTGTTTTTGAAAGAGTCCGGTGCATTTTTGCTCTGGGAAAAAGATGGCGTCATTTTGCCCTGGGGAGCAGAGGATGTAGTTTTGATTTGGGAAACTGCTGGTGCTGTGCTATTCTGTGGCAAGGAGACTGCATTCCTGCTCTGTGTAACATCTGTTGAAAATTTATATTGGGACAACTCCCACGAGTGTTTAGGCTGCGAATAGTGAGAATTCTTTTTGGACTGAGCAATGCCGGTCGAGTGTTTAAAGTGCGTGCTGTCCGGTGTTGTTTTGGGATGGAAAAAATTTGACTTAGTGTTCAGCTTCACAATTTCGGGATCTTTTCGCTGGACTTTGAGTGTTTCAAAACCTACCGTCGGTGTTTGTGGTGCGCCTGAACACACATTATTTGATTGTGGCGTAGGTGTTGTCTCTGAAAAGCACTTAGCATTCTGCTGGAATGCTGCAGCATCCGCCTGGGATGTCGCTGGCGTGCATTCTGATGCTGCCAAAGAACTTGAAGATGGTGCAACAGGTTCTTTTCGTGTCCCTTGGGTAGACTGTGTGCCTTGGTTAGACTGTGTCCCTTGGGTAGACTGTGTCCCCTGGGTAGGCTGTGTCCCTTGATTAGATGTTGTGGAAGCAAGCTGATGGCTAAATGTAAGAGTGTTTACAAAATTGTGAGGTGCTTGAGATGACTGAGGATGCTGAGATGCTGAGCTTTTCACAGAATCTTTGACTGAGAGTCTGGGTTTTTTGCTTACTGCAGACTGCGATGGTGTGTTCTTTGTCCTTTTAAGACTCTGTGTCGCACAAGGGCCGCCGGCTTTCTTGGGGTCAAGGTTCTTTGAGTCATTTACCGAAAGTTCTGACTTGGAGGTGACTTTGTTTGTTTGTTTGGGTAATGAAGTTTCTAAAGCTGATGGCTGTGCAGACGGTGGGGCAACTACAGGTTCTGTATCCGCAGCCCGAGGAGGTTTCGTGGTAGCTGTAGGAGGTGGCTGCTTCGATTTGGACTTTTTATTGGGGGTTTTCTTCTTAACAAGGTTTAGACAAGGTTTCTTCTCCTCGACCTGATCCGAACTAGCGACCGCTGACGTCACACTCTTAGCCGAGGTGAATTCACCCACCGCGTCCGTTGACGTCTCGGATTTCACTTTGAGCTCCTCCGTGAGCGGTTTGCTGACCACTGCCTGATTGCTCGTTTCACTCAATACTGACGGCTTCTTGGATTCACCTCCTTCGTACACACAGTAGGTCAGCTGGAGAGGTGTTCTCTGAAAGTAGAAAAAAATAAGAACATAAAATTGGGCTTAAATCTAAACTCCATATTTTATAGAAGTAATAGAATCCGACTGTACTACTCAAAAGTAATTGTAACAAATAACGTAGGAAGGGGTTACCGAGGGGGGGGGGCGGAACTTTTTAAATTTAAATTTATGGGCGGCTCTTCGACCAGGATTTAATTTTGGTCGAAGGGGGCGTCAAAAAGCTTAACCCGCACCGCGTGGCACTAACCCTAGCTACGCCCATGTATATGGCGCTTTATTACAACGTTGTCGTTGTATACAATAACTCGACCCGATTTTAAGATTGACAGCTGTTCGCTTTAGTAAACTTCAAACAACTGGCCGGCAGAACTTCCTAAAATACACAGGTTTTTTTTCTTTCTTTCTTTAAATCAATTCACCACATAAAAGTAAAATGTTTCCACTTGTCACCGATAAATTTTCCGCCCAACTACAACAAATACCATGAAACACTGCATTATGAGACTCAGAAGACCGCGCGTTGCTGATCGTGGACTGACTACAGCTGTTTGCAAGTATATTATTATAGCTATAACTGTTTCATAATTAGGTTTCTGTTTCAAGATGCTTTTTCTGTAGGTGAAAATAGCGCGTGTTAATTGCAATAGCTACTCACCCTTCTCCAGTTAAAGATGTAGGCGACGTCACAAAGGGTGTAGCTGTTCCTCATGGGCTCGTCGTTGTAAAACATATCCACCTAAGTGAGAGATGGCGGAGAGGGTTTTCTTTAATAAACAAGTAGATGTTTTTTAATAAACTAGGAGATGTTTTTAATAAACAAGGAGATGTTTTTTTAATAAACTAGGAGATGTTTTTAATAAACAAGGAGATGTTTTTTAATAAACTAGGAGATGTTTTTAATAAACAAGGAGATGTTTTTAATAAACAAGTAGATGTTTTTAATAAACAAGGAGATGTTTTTAATAAACAAGGAGATGTTTTTAATAAACAAGGAGATGTTTTTAATAAACAAGGAGATTTTTAAAAAATAAACAAGGATAGATAAACGAGGATATATTTTTTAATAAACGGAGGTTGGAGAGGGGAACCAAAGACGTGGGCATAAAGGATATCAAAGAGGCTTATCACACAGGACGTTACAGAAAAGCCCTTGGAGCATATGCATAAAACATCTGATTATGTTTGCTTTTGGGCATTGGGAAACGTTGGCTGGGGGTATTTTGTTACTGCCAACGCCTCCGTCTAGGAGCCGGTATTTGAATATAGATATTTAGGACGTTTAGAAGGTTAACCATAATAGTATCGACTTGGTATTTGAATATAGATTATTTAGGAAGTTTAGAAGGTTAACCATAAAAGTATCGACTTGGTATTTGAATATAGATATTTAGGAAGGTTTAGGAGGTTAATCATAAAAGTATCGACTTGGTATTTGAATATAGATTATTTAGGAAGTTTAGAAGGTTAACCATAAAAGTATCGACTTTGGTATTTGAATATAGATATTTAGGAAGGTTTAGGAGGTTAATCATAAATGTATCGACTTTGATATTTGAATATAGATATTTAGGAAGTTTAGAAGGTTAACCATAAAAGTATCGACTTTGATATTTGAATATAGATATTAAGGAAGGTTTAGGAGGTTAATCATAAAAGTATCGACTTTGGTATTTGAATACAGATATTTAGAAGGTAAGAAGGTGAACCATCAATGTATCGAATTTGATACTTGAATATAGATTTTTAGCAAGGTTAGAAGATGAACCATAAAGGTGTCGACTTTATCTTTTACACGTTCGAGTGTTAAACAAAACTATTATTTAGCTCCTTTAAGTCAAAAATATAATTCATAACTTTTACAGAATGTCTGATTTAAGAATTATTCCTGCAGTATCAACAAAATAAATATTTTCATTCTAAACATTAACTTTTCTTTTCGCCGATTCAAAATTCAACAATTTTAAGTTTTTTTTTTTTTTTTAAAAAGAAAAGAAGAAAACTGTAGTTATTACCGATACCATGTTTGCATCTAAGCTTTTCTACACCAATCTTCCTTCTTGAAAACACATTCTCATGACTTCATTTGGGCGGTGTAACCTGCAGTATCAACAAAATAAATATTTTCATTCTAAACATTAACTTTTCTTTTCGCCGATTCAAAATTCAACAATTTTAAGTTTTTTTTTTTTTTTTAAAAATAAAAAAAGAAAACTGTAGTTATTACCGATACCATGTTTGCATCTAAGATTTTCTACACCAATCTTCCTTCTTGAACACACATTCTCATGACTTCATTTGGGCGGTGTAATATGTAAGCGCACGTATTGATTTGAGAATTACATTAAGAGTTAGAATGGTTATATAATGATTGATTCGCAGAGTACTACAGTTATGATAGGATTTCGGACCACAGCTTAGTTCGTTTCAACGTGCGTTCAATAACAGTGCAACCGTGGGTAAAAAAAAAAAAAGTAGGAAATGTATCATTTAATTAATTTTTTTTTACCTGCAATGTGGAAAGTTGGTACGTATTATTGTTATTATTTTTATTATTATAATTATTATTTTTAAAATAATTAAAACAAATAATTTCAGTTTTCGTTTTCTGGTCGACATTTTAAAACTACAATAAACTATAAGCTCGCAGCGATTATATGGATTCTACAGTCTTGGAAAATTTACAGCGGCTTCATTTCACCCGCCTCCGGCTTTCCAAAATAGCTGATTAGAAAAGAACATTAAAGTTAGGGTAGGACAAAAACTGTCCATATACAATCATAATCTACGATGTCCACTCGAACTTTAACAACTTTCAGAGTTGTGCAATCATAATCTACGATGTCCACCTTACACTTAAACACTTACCGAGTTGTGCAATCATAATCTACGATGTCCACCTTACACTTAAACACTTATAGAGTTGTGCAATCATAATCTACGATGTCCACCTTATACTTAAACACTTACAGAGTTGTGCAATCATAGTCTACGATGTCCACCTTACACTTAAACACTTACAGAGTTGTGCAATCATAATCTACGATGTCCACCTTACACTTAAACACTTACAGAGTTGTGCAATCATAATCTACGATGTCCACCTTACACTTAAACACTTACATAGTTGTGCAATCATAGTCTACGATGTCCATCTTACACTTAAACCCTTACAGAGTTATGCAATCATAATCTACGATGTCCACCTTACACTTAAACACTTACAGAGTTGTGCAATCATAGTCTACGATGTCCACCTTACACTTAAACACTTACAGAGTTATCCAATCAAAATCTACGATGTCCACCTTACACTTAAACACTTACAGAGTTGTGCAATCATAATCTACGATGTCCACCTTACACTTAAACACTTACAGAGTTATGCAATCATAAATCTACGATGTCCACCTTACACTTAAACACTTACAGAGTTGTGCAATCATAGTCTACGATGTCCACCTTACACTTAAACACTTACAGAGTTATGCAATCAAAATCTACGATGTTCATCCTACATTTAAACACTTACAGAGTTATGCAATCATAGTCTGCGATGTTCACCCTACACTTAACCCCTGTCAGAGTTTGAACCCTTCGATTCAATTATAAATTGTTCAATTTGGTTTTGTGTAACCGGAAAATAGTAATTTATTAGATTTTCTTTAAAGTACTGTTCTATATCGGATATTAGGAATTATTATTATTATTTTTTTTAAGTGCTGTTATATATCGGATATTAGAAATTATTAATTTTTTTTTTAAAGTGCTGTTATATAATAGGAGATAAGAAACGCGTTATTATTATTTTTTTTAAAGTACTGTTACATAATAGGAGAATTGTTAACGATGTACAGCATGAAAAACCTATCCGAAGATAACTGCATACAAAGAGTATAATACAAGTGGCTTATGGGACATGTCGCACTGACAGAAAGAAACGACCAATAGATATTTGAGGTGTGAGTACTTCTGGGGGTCGGCAAATAAGCTTACTTTTTACATTGGGATGACAGCCCTCTTGCCCCCCCCCACCCCCCTTGAATCCAAAATCTCTTTGCTTTAATAACCCCTTGATACATCCTTCCTCCCAGTAATATATATATCGGATCCGCCCATGGTGGATAGCAGGCGACGCCGATTTAAATCTTTTTTTTTCTTTAATGTAACAGTTCGGTTGGTAGAGTCAGGGGCGCGCCCACGTGACCCGCAATATCAAATGTCCCTATTGTAATTGGGAAACTGACACCAGTTGATGATACTGTGGCAGCGGTGGCGATGATATGGGGGGGGGAGGGCGTGGGAGGGTTTGGAGAGGGGCGTGGGGCACTCGGCTCGGGTTCCAAT